TTTTTTCCAGAATAGTTCTCAAAAGTGCGGAACTTGCACTTTTAGTATACTTCATGATTAGATTTTGCTACTGCCTGTTTCCTTCCCTTATTGTTTGCTCGCTTTCTTCTTTCTTCTTCTGCATTGCCTCATTCAGTTGGTTGCAATTTTTGAGGGGCAGTCCCATGTCAAATGAATGGGCGTCGGGGTACGTCTTTTCTATTCCAAAGTTTGCGGAGCAAGCAGAATTAACCACAATTTCGATTGTTCCTGAGCTGTAGCATAGCTCTTATTGTGGGTTTCAGTGACCATCTGGGAATGCTTTGTATGTGCTGTTTTCATTTCTGCTATCGTCCATGATGTTTTTCAGAATCGCGATGGGTTGTAATTTGATAGTGTTTTAGCAGTGTTATGTTGAGTGAGGTCAAAGCACGTATTCTGCAGCTATTCGCGAACGCATGAGAAATCTTTTTTTTTCAATTACCTACCCAGGCTCAGGCTTCAGAAATACGGATTTTAATGTATTCACACCTCTTCCTCTTCTTCACTCGCTCCCGCTCTTCTGCTCGTTCCGTGTAATGCATGTTTCTAACAATTCGGTTTTTGAACGCTAATTTTTTTGACATGCAGACTATGAATAATCTCATCTTAAAAATGGCTTCGTATTCTGATCAGATCATGGGTCATTATTGCACAATTTGAATTGGAGTGTTTTGTTGAATGCAGAAAACCTGATTGTCGGACCAGATCGGATGCAATGTGTCTTTCCCCAGGGGATACGTATGAACTCTCAAAAAGGGAGTCGATGATCAAAAAAGGGACAAAATGACGTAAGGCGCTAGGGGAAATGCTCAAAACGATGAGATATAGTGAAGGCCACCCAGAGAACGTACGCTGAAGTTGAACAGAACTCCAAAAATGGAGACAAACCTAGCTTGAAGATTGTAGAATTTGAACCCATGGTATGTAAATCTGCGATCTTTTTCGCAGTGCGACCCGCAATTTGAATTTTGATTATTCCAATGATTTTAGCTTATTAATGGGATATTGATAAAATAATTAGCATAACAACAAACATAACCGTATTGCAAGAAATTCAAGTCAACTTGCCGCAATTTTTTGAAAAGCGGTTTAGATTCCAGTAAAAGTCCTTAGACAGTCGTAACCATATCCAGCTCTTACATTTTCTTTACGTTTCACCTCATTTCGGGGTGTTGATGTTTTATAAGAGAATAGTGTACTTTCGCCAGGTCTTTAGCAAATGGGCGTAGTTAGACTAGTTAGACTGGTA